CACACTAGCTCCACCATGACAAAGCCTCCTGGTTTTCTCCTTCCATGTTTCCCAATGAACTGTATTTCTTAAGAAACCAAACCAAACCAAACCAAACCAACCGGAAAGAGAAAGTGTGTTTTGACATGCAGTGTCCTAACACCTTGAACTACTTTCCCAAACAGTTGTTTTTTCCACAGTCAATATATGGGAGTCCTTTTAGAAACCTATTCGACATGAATAGGATTTTCCTAGTTCTTCTAGCAACATATTCACATATGGTTTTGTCCTCAGAGCTTCCTTGCAATGTCAAATTCAAGAGACTTTTTTTTTGGGGGGGGGGGGAACAGCAGCCGTGTAGAAGGCAGAGTAAAGGGGGGATGGGATGAAAAAAACCCCAAACTCTATACTTTACAGAGTTGTTATTGTATTTTTTTTGAAATGATATTTATTAGAGGTTTAATAATTACAGAAAAAATAAAAAATAAAACAATAAAAAGTTAAACAGAACAAAACAGTACCTTACAATACATCAAAAATAAAAAAGCAAAAACAATACAGCAGAACAACAAGAAAAACAAAAACATTTAAAAGCACATCCAATATTTCCGTATCTTTACCTTTCATTTACTTGTTTCATCGACCTCCTCACACCTCCCTTTTTTGTATTCTAATTCAATTAGCTATTTCAGCAAATCCTTTCCATCTTTCTCAATTTTTGTTGTATAATTTATCTTAACACAATCTAACCTTAAATTTTCCACTTTGACCCATTAACACTCTATTTTTACTTAATTCTTTATAACATTTCTGCTAAAACCATATAACTTCATTCCAGCATCCTTCTAACATTCATAAATTTTACAATATTTCTGTAAATATACTTTAAATTTTTTTTCCAATCTTCTTCCACCGACTCTTCTCCCTGGTCTTGGATTCTGCCAGTCATTTCCACAGAGTTGTTATTGTAATTCACCAGCTCTTAACCTATTAAAGTATTTCCCAATTTTTAAAGACGTTTTCTCCCACAAAGCCATTTTGTCATGGGAGAAAAGGTCAAATTGCTATTTTTTTGAACATGTGATGCCATTTTGTTCAAACTGATGTTATTTTTTCAATAGTATCTCGAATATTAACGTATTTAGACCCGAGTGCCACCCATCTTTCTTGCAGGGCTACATAGGAATATTCCAAGGTAGCCCAATTTGGACAGTTATTTTCAGTTGTGGGTCTCCAGAATTGTGTAAAGGTAAAGGGTAAAGGAACCCCTGACCATTAGGTCCAGTCATGGCCGACTCTGGGGTTGCGGCACTCATCTCACTTTATTGGCCAAGGGAGCCGGCGTACAGCTTCCGGGTCATGTGGCCAGCATGACAGCGCTGCTTCTGGCGAACCAGAGCAGCGCACGGAAACGCCGTTTACCTTCCCGCTGGCGCGGTACCTATTTATCTACTTGCACTTTGACGTGCTCTCAAACTACTAGGTTGGCAGGAGCAGGGACCGAGCAATGGGAGCTCACCCCGTCACGGAGATTCGAACCGCCGACCTTCTGATCGGCAAGTCCTAGGCTCTGTGGTTTAACCCACAGCACCACCCACCTCCCCCAGAATTGTGTACCTGACATTAAATATGCTTGGTGATACAGTTCTAAATCTGGGATCCCAAATCCTACTTCCTTGATCAATTTTTGCATTTTTTGAATAGATATTCTTGGAACTCAAGAGCCCCATATGCATTTTATATATTTTTTTTATTCAAAATTATAACAAGACATATTATCCAAAAACATAAACATATCATCCTTGTCCCCCCCCCATTTTTCCTTCCTCCCCCCTCCCACACTGTCAGCTTTCTAGCTGCTTCATGTTGCTGCTTTCAGCAGAGAAAGCATTCCAGGCAGCCAGCCATAAATCATAGAATCATAGGATCATAAAGTTGGAAGAGACCACAAGGGCCATCGAGTCCAACCCCCTGCCAAGCAGGAAACACCATCAGAGCACTCCTGACATATGGTTGTCAAGCCTCTGCTTAAAGACCTCCAAAGAAGGAGACTCCACCACACTCCTTGGCAGCAAATTCCACTGTCAAACAGCTCTTACTGTCAGGAAGTTCTTCCTCATGTTTAGGTGGAATCTTCTTTCTTGTAGTTTGGATCCATTGCTCCGTGTCTGCTTCTCTGGAGCAGCAGAAAACAACCTTTCTCCCTCCTCTGTATGACATCCTTTTATATATTTGAACATGGCTATCATATCACCCCTTAACCTCCTCTTCTCCAGGCTAAACATGCCCAGCTCCCTTAACCGTTCCTCATAAGGCATTCTTTCCAGGCCTTTGACCATTTTGGTTGCCCTCCTCTGGACACGTTCCAGTTTGTCAGTGTCCTTCTTGAACTGTGGTGCCCAGAACTGGACACAGTACTCCAGGTGAGGTCTGACCAGAGCAGAATACAGTGGCACTATTACTTCCCTTGATCTAGATGCTATACTCCTATTGATTAAATTAAATTTCACTCTTTATTGCCTCCCGACTCAATTACAGGCAGAAATAAACAAAGTGATCCGACTTCCATGACGCCTTGCTCCGACTAGCGTCTTTTCTCCTTCGCTCCTCCCAGCACAGCCATCTGTCCGGCCGTCTTTCCCTGTGACGAGGAGCACTCTTTCTCGGAAGTAGCCCCTCCAGCTCAGACTCACTCTCCTCTTCTCTCTTCTCTGAGGACGAGAAACTGCTAATCAGAGGGGATCGTTCTCTATATCCTCCCTTTCTTTCCTCCCTCATTGCCTGCAGTTCCCTGACACACACAACCCCCCCACCCTCCCCGACTTCCCTCAGTTCCATTCTTTGGTTTCTCTAAGAATGCTGTTTTCTGCATGTTACAAAATTGTATAGATCCTCAAACTATTTAGCTGATTATTATCAATAAAAGGTTTGTGAATGTTTATTCAAAACTGCCAAGGAGTCCAGTTTGCTTCGAAGCGTCTTCAGATACTTTGTAAAGGGTTCCCATTCATCCTTAAAGTCACAGTTATCCTTGTCCTGTAGCTTATATGTCAATTTTGCCAGTTCTGCATAGTTCGTCAATTTTCGTTGCCATGATTCTTTAGTTGGGGTTTCTTCAGTCTTCCATCCTTGTGCTACCAGAACTCTTGCGGCAATTGTCGCATACATGAAGATGTTTTTTCAACTTTTTTGGCAGGTCTTTCTCTACAATCCCCAACAAAAATGCCTTGGGTTTTTTAACAAATGTTAAATGGAACTTTTTCTTCAATTCGTTGTAAATCATTTCCCAATTTTTTAAAATTACCTTACAATCCCACCACATATGATAAAATGTCCCCTCCTTTTCCTTACACTTCCAACATATATTTGAACTAGTTTTGTACATTTTCCCTAACTGCACTGGTGTTGTGTACCATCTGTACATCATCTTCATGTAATTCTCCTTCAATAGGGAACAGTCTGTAAATTTTAAGTCAGTTTTCCATAATTTAACCCAATCTTCCATCATAATGTTATGCCCTGATTTTACCTCTTCATCTTTCGTCTCCCATTCTAATAATATGCTGTATGCGGCCTTCAGTAGTTTCACTTTCCCTTCAATCACTTCCGTTTGAAACCTAGATCTAGTATAACTAAATCCTTTCTTGCTGTCTTCTTTATGTGTTTCATATAGTTGTCGATAATGCAACCAACTCTGAAAGTGGTCTTTGATCTCATCATAATCTCTTAATTTCCATTTTCCATCATGTTCCTTTAATAAATCAGCATATGTGAGCCATTTCCCTTTCTTTCCAAGTGGTTTGAGCAGTAATGTTTCATGTGGTGAAAGCCATCACGGGGTCTTTTGTTCCAATAAGTCTTTGTATCTCTCCCATACTCTCATTAGTGATTTCCTGATTATGTGGTTGTAAAAACTTCTATGAACCTTTCCTTTCCCGAACCATAAGTATTCATGCCAGCCAAATCTGTTATCATGTCCTTCTAGTTCTAATGCCTCTTGCTTATCCAATCTCATCCAGTCCCTGATCCATACCAAACAAGCAGATTCATAATACAATTTAAGGTCTGGGAGGGCAAACCCGCCTCTATCTTTTACATCTGTAAGTATTTTATGTTTTATCCTTGGCTTTTTGCCCCCCCAGATAAATCTTGAAATCTCTTTCTGCCATTTTTTAAAGCATTCATCTTTAAGGATGACTGGTATTGATTGAAAAAGAAATAGCATTTTTGGCAGTACATTCATTTTAATCGCCAATATTTTTCCTAACATTGAGAGATTCATTCTGCTCCATATTTCTAAATTTATTTTTACCTCAAGCCAAATTTTTCCATAATTATTTTTAAATAGGTTTATATTTCTTGATGTTAACCAAATCCCTAAATATTTAACCTTTTTATGGACTTCAATCTCAATGTTTTGTTCTAATTCGGTTCTTTCTTCTTCCTTCATGTTTTTAACTAATAATTTAGTTTTATTCCTATTTAACTTAAATCCTGCCACTTCTGCAAATGCATTTCCTAAACAAAGATTTAATATTTTGAAAGTATTTGCTTGGTATGTGAATTGGAATTTCTTTAAAGATATAAACTAGGTATTATGTTCAGTTTAAGAGCTTTGACTTTCCCCCACAGGGTCAGGTTCAATGACTGCTGTCGATATCCATTGATAAGTCATGATACATTTTGTTGATGTTTAACAATGCTAATTTAGATAAATCTTGTGGTAATAATAACACACGGTTGACTCATGTTCAGCTTGTGGTCCACCAAGACCCCTGGATCCTTTTCGCATGTCCTGCTACTTAGCCATGTGTCCCCCATGTGCACCTGGTTCTTCCTGCCTAAGTGCAGAACCTTCCCTGTTGAAATTCATTTGGTTAGCTTGGGCCCAGCTATGGAGAGTGCTCAGCTATGGGGCTGTACTGTTGAGTCTGGGTCAAGACAAATAAGGACTCGCTTACTAAACTATAGTCGCTCTTGTGTCTGCTTCTTCCTTGGCTCTCATTCCCACAGAGAACAACATGCGTGTGAGCAGAACACAGGGCCTCCTACTGGTGGCTGGCATCTTGACTTACTTGCTGATGGGTGCCCTCATCTTTGAGCTTCTGGAGAAGGATCACTACTTAAAAATGGAAGATGCAATGTTTCAACTGAAAGAGGATTTTTTTTTGAACTACACCTCTCTCAGCCAAGAAGAGGTGGAATTAGTCATACAGGTAAGGCATTACTTCAGCAAGACTGAAAGGGATGACCATGGCATGACACCAAAGGTTAAGAGGTCAGAAAGTATACATGGGGGGAATACAGTTTAGGAGGTGGGAATTGAGGTGGAGACAGAATCAGTAGGCAGCTTAGAAACATAAGGACTCACCCTTCCTACTAGCCATTATGGCTCTGTTCTGCCTACACTGTTGGAGGCAGCATGGGCTTCTCCACACTGAGCTTTCCTCCACTCTCTCCAGGCATGGTTCGTGTCTGAGCACCATTTCGTTGCTCTGGGGCTTTCCTCATGAAAACCAGCTTGTTAACAGCAATCCATTGAATACCCAAATTGACTTTTGCTCTGATTCAGCTATAAAGAGCAGGTTTTTGTTAGTATTAGTACTGTATTTGTTGGGAAATGTATTTTGCAAAGAATAAATTAGGGAAAGGAGAACATACCCCATGTAGCAGCTGCAAAACAGGTGACTCCAATCAAGGTCACAGAAAAGCTGAATCATTGCCACGGAAAACCCAAATTTACGTTTCCTCCAATTCAGCTATTAAGGGTGGGTTTTTGTACATTCAAACCTTGGTTGTTGAACTTAATCTGTTCTAGTAGTCCGTTCGACTCCTGAAATGATTCAAAAACCAAGGCGTGGTTTCCGATTGGCTGCAGGCACATCCTGCACTCAATTGGAAGCCGTGGAAGCTGTGCCAGACATTCGGCTTACGAAAAACATTCGCAAACCGGAACACTCACTTCTGGGTTTGCGATATTTGGGAGCCAAAATGTCAGAGTACCAAGGCATTAAAAAACTAAGGTTCAACTGTACTATATTTGTTGGGACACGTATTTTATAAAAATATATTGGGAAAAGGGGAACATACGTCATGTAGCAACTGCAAAACAGGTGACTCTGTTCAAGGTCACAGGAAAGCTGAATCATTGTCTGGTTAACTGCCTTGAAAAGTGTGTCTTTGTGCCTTAGAACAGAGGGTGGGAGATGGGGTAGTCTCACCATTGTTTTGTTGACTGAGAATATGGGAGAGCCAATACTCCAAGCAGACTCTGTCCAGAAGAATTTATGAAGACAGCCAAGCCAAGGGGTAATGATTTATGCATTGCTACTAAAGTGTATGTTTTTGGAGTGAGAAGACCAAACCCTCTCTTGGGCTCAAGGGAGAGAAACACTTAGTATTGAACGTGAGATATAAACAACACAGCTTGTTATAGTGTTGCCATCAGTGCTATTGGAGTGCGGCCTTTGCCTGGAAAGAGTGGAGAAAACGTTGAGTGTGCATAAGCCCTATGCCTACCAGTTACTGGGGGTGACAAGTGAGGGGAGGGCTGTTGTGCTCAGGTCTTGTTTGTGGGCTTCCCATGAGCATTGGGCTGGCCACTGGGGGAAGAACGTGCTGGACTGATCCACAAGAACGTCCCTTGTGAATGCATAGAGATTTGGTTAGCAGTATCTGGTGATAATCAGAGGAGGGGCTATTCTTATTGTTGGAATATTCAAACTGAGCCTTGCCTTCAATTGCAGAGACTGGTAAAATATGCTCAGAAGGGAGTAGAACCTATAGGAAGACATGATGATGAAGGAAGGGCCGGCTGGGATTTCAGTACTTCTTTCTTCTTCATGGCCACAGTGTTAACCACAATAGGTACTGTCATTTGGTTCTGGCTTCTTCACGAATATAGTATGCAGGGCATTCAACTGCTCTCAGATAAATTGTGTAAAGTTGCAGGCTTTGCTTTTGCTCCTTCATCATCCTTCACATCTCATCTTTGTCTTTCCATTTCTGGCCAAATAAATAGTTCATTTATTATATGCCCAACAAGACCATTCCCTGATTAGTTATTTATTCCCATCCTTCTGGGGCCAACCCATTATTAAAACCACCCTGTGGAAAGTAGTTGGGCTAGGAAATGAGTTCAAATCCCACCTGGTGCAACTGACCCAATGCCAGGTCTCCCAATGCAAATCCGTCCCTCTCAGCGCAGCCCTATGCATTCAGTGGGACTTGCTCCCCAATAAATTTGCATAGGATTGAAACTTCTTTCCAGTAAGCTACAAAATACACTCAAGAAACTACACACCCTTTACGTCTAGATGAATGCCTTCAATGCAGAAAACCATGCACTGAATGAGTGGGAGAACATACCCTGTTAGCACTGTTTAATCCAGAGCTTTCAAAACTTTTCATGTTGGTGACACACTTTTTATACATGCATCAATTTGTGACACGGTAATTCAGTTTTACTAGCAAGCTGGTGGTTAAACTAAGCCCTTTCCAGCATTGGCATGACCTACACACTACAGCCAACATGCTAACATGTTGCGACACACAGTTTGGAAAGCTCTGGTTAAGCTTTTTGGTGTGAAGCACAAATTGGGATTCCAAACAACAGATTGAAGAACTAGGCCACAACCAACAAGATGCATTTCAATACGGGCAAATGTAAGCTTCTGCACTCAGGCAGGAAGAACCAGCTGCACATATATAAGATGGGGGACATCTGGCTTACTAGTAGTACATGTGAAAAGGATCCGGGTTTTTGGTGGCTGCATCAACTGAAGTATTGTATCCAGATCAAGGGAAGCAATAGTACCACTCTATTCTGTCTTGGTCAGACCACCCCTGAAATACTGTGTTCTTTTTTGGGCACCACAATTTGAGAAGGATTTTGGCAAGCTGGAACATGTGCAGAGAAGGGTAGCCAAGAAGATCAAGGGTCTGGAAACCAAGCCTTATGAAGAATGGTTGAAGAGACTAACAGAAGATATGAGAACCATCTTCAAATATCTCCAGGGCTGTCACATGGAAGAGGGAGCATGCATGTTTTCTCTTGCTCTGGAGAATAGGACTCGAGGCAATGGCTTCAAAAGACAAGAAAGAGATTCCGACTAAACATCAGGAGAAACTTCTGACAGTAAGAGCTTTCTGATAATAAGGGTTGTTTGACAATGGAACACACTCCATCATGAGGTTGTGGGTGTTAGTTTCTGTGTGTTGCCACTGTGCAGTTGCTTGGAGTCACAAGACTCTGTTTTGCATTCCAGAGATTCCATACTGTTGGAAGTCTCACGGGAGACAGATGTGACATTACTGGTTTCCTGTTCCTTTGTTTGTTCAGGTGCTCTCTGCTCTCACAGAGAGACAATGTATTTCTTTTCTGTCTCCATAGCTTAGTAATAAAACTCTTAGCATGTAGCTCATACTTCTCGTCCTTCCCTGTGCTGGATACTCTGCATAATGGGAATGTGCTTGGAGCCTTATAAGAGGCTCAGGTTGTTAATTACTGTCGGAGGTGATTCCGGAGGAGCTTGGAGGAGCTCGGTCGAACGGAGAGTCCGACATTTTTGGTTTTGGGCCCAGAAGAACAGAATGCAGATTATCTTCTCTGTGTGTCAAGAAGATTGATGGGAGGTAGGTGCTCATTACCCCGGGAAGCCTGCCAGTCCCTAATTAATTGGCAATAAGGGTGGACTTTGAACTTCAAGCCAAAGCACTAACCGGCTGCGGCAGAAGGGTGCTGTTTGAAAAGCAGCTGCTGGGAAACAGACTTAGCTTGCTTTAAAGACACAATGGCCAATCCAAAAGTACAGGAGGCTCTTCAATTTGCGATGGGGATACCAAAGCTCTCAAAAGGGAATTATCAGGAATGGGTGCAGTATGCAGAAGCCCTGCTAAGAAAAGAGGGTCTGTTTAATGTCATAACAGACACCTCCCCCCAGCTCCAGTTACCCAAGAGTGGGAGGCTAAGGATTCCAAAGCAAGGGGAACTCTAACGCTTATTGTGTCCCCTGAAGAGTTTTGTCTGTTGCGTGACAAGGCCTCAGCCAAAGAGATGTGGGACAGTCTCCAACAGTCACATTTAAGAACAGAGGTGGGAGCTTCTTTGTTCTTTTATGCCAAGTTGCATGATATGGCACTTGCTGATGGAGCAGATGTACGTGCTCACCTCATGGAAATGCAGGATCTAAGGCATGAGTTGCAACAGCGTGGAATCACCTTTCCAGAGGCTGTGTATTCCTTCATGATTCTACATTTTTTGGGTTCAAGTTGGGAAGCGATTGCCAGCCAGCTTGCTGTTTTGCCTACTGCTCAGCTCACGGTAGTGCATGTTACTGCTGTGGTGTTGAATGAAGCGGATCGGTGTAGTGCTAGCTGCATAACTAAGGGGGAGTCCTCACAGACATCATCCCAGAATGCAGTGCAACCACTAGATGGTGCCAAAGCTTTGAAGGCAGTGAAATGCTACTATGTGGGCATCTAGGCCACGTGAAGGGGGAATGTAAACATCCCAATGCCAAGGCAACAGAGCAACGCAGCAAAAGTTCAACGCGTTGAAAAGGCAAAGGTCAGAAGTCCAGGACAATGCAACACAAGACCATGGTCTCACGGTACACTCCAAAGGTCCAGAAGACATCTAGATCTTGCTTTATCATAGACTCGGGAGCCACCCGGCACATCTGCAAAGACAAACACCTGTTCGTGTCCATTACTCTGCAGGAAGGTGCGATTCACCAAGCGGATGACCACATGATCTCCAGTCAAGGCTACGGAACAGTTGTGCTTCACAGTTTGGATGCATCAATATGCAATGTTCTTTTTGTTCCAGATGCTGCACACAACCTATTGAGTGCCTCGCAGCTGACTGAACAGGACATAGATGTTTCCTTCAAGAAGAGGAAGTGCACCATCACCAAGAAAGATGACTTTGTATTGCATGCTGATTATGTTGATCATTTGTTTGTATTACATTATGATGATTCTGTTGATGTTGTGCAGGATGAAACTTGTTGTATTGCAAATACTAAGAAGGTTTTGCATGCAGGATGTATTCATGATTATCACAGGAAACTTGGTCATTTAAACTTCGAGGCAGTTTCCAAAATGCTGCCTTAGTTGAAGGTATGACTATTAAACGCTGCAGGTACCACATGAAGTGTAAGGCATGTGCAGCAAACAAGGTCAAAATGACTGCAAAAAGTAAGGTATCTAGTAGACAAGCTACAGAACCATACCAGGTAGTGCATGCTGATCTCGTTGGTCCACTAACACCCTCTTTGGGTGGAGCCAGGTACTTCATGATTCTCATTGATTCATATTCCAGATATATTCATGTGTTCAATCTCAAGCAGAAATCAAAAGCATTTCCTAGGTTCAAGGAATTCTGTGCTTGGTTGAAAAATGTGCATGATAAACAGGTGAAATGTTTATTTACAGATCGAGGGGGAGAATTCACTTCTCAAAAGTTTGAAGCTTTTCTGACTGAGAAAGGAATTCAACATGACCTTTCAAGTCCACGGTCTTCTTGGATGAATGGACTTTGTGAAAGGGTAAATCAAACATTACTTCAAGGCTTGATAACCTTGCTGCATGATGCCAGTCTTACAGAGTTATTGGGCAGAAGTGCTCAGCTGTTTTGTTTATATTTATAATCGCATATTGTCATCACCGATTGGTTGTACCCCCTATGAAAAGATGTTTGGCAAGAAACCATACATCAAGCACATGAGAATTTTTGGTTCTGACATGTGGGTTCACACACCACAAAGCTCCAAGTTAGGCAAACGTGTTTTGCATGGTATCTTTCTAGGATATCAGAAAGGTTCTTACAGAGTAATGATGACTGACTCTAATACAGTTAGGCTCACTAGAAGTGTTGAGTACAATGGCAAGTAGGGGGAGAATGTGGGAATTTTCCAATGTTATCCTGATGATAGTGAAGAGTCTGAGGATAAACAGCAGCAAAGCCCCACACTCACTGATGAAGGTTCTGATTCTGAATCTGAAACTGACTCAAATGATTCAGAGGATTTCAAGAGTGCTAAGGCCTCTCTGCGACCCTCTGAAGGCTCTGATCGAGAATTGGAGGAACCACTGTTCACTATAGACAGTGGGTTCTGCTTAACTGGAGGTTTTTAAGCAGAGGTTGGATGGCCATCTGATATGGATGCTCTAGTTGAGATTTCTGCATTGCAGAGGGTTGAACTAGATTACTCTTGGGGTTCCTTCCAACTCTGCAATTTTACGATTCTGTGACTATGAATTGCCAGAAGCTTGGTGGTTTTTTCCTCGGAGTTCATTTCCACCTGTGCACAAGATCCTTTCTCTCTATATCTCTGCCATATGTTGATCAGTATTTCTCCCCAAAGGTCCTGTGAATTCTTTAGTCTGGTCTTTCTCTGATCCATTTTCATTCACCATTCTGTGCATCTCATTTCTGAGCTCTTGCAATTGCTCATCCAATAATTGTGGGATGATACTAACAATCAATGGTGCGTTCAGCCGTGTCTTTGCCATATTGAGTTCTGTTCATCTCTCCCTTAGCAGCCTCTGCTTTGAAAACTTGTGTCTGTCCCTTTAGGTAAACAGTGCATTCCATTCCAACGGTTTGAGGTTGAATTCCAACAAGACCGAAGTACTGTTTTTGCAGAACAGGGGAAGCTAGCCAGAGTGGCTAGGGGCAACCCAGTCAGATGGGCGACACATAAATAATAAATTGCAATTATATTATTATTCCCATGCTAATGGGTTCAATCTCACTGAAGGGATGGAGAGTTAAAAGTAATATAAGATGAAGATTTTAAACTAACCAGATCATCCCAATCATCCGATAATTTAAGATAAGCTTTTTGCTTTGTTTTTCAGCCTCTTAAATAATGCCTCTTCTTACACCAGCAGCCAATTTGCATTCTGGATAAGAATTAATTAATTAGAAGTAATTGGCAGATAGATCAGCCAAGTCTTAATTGAGGCCAATTGCAAAGGAAACTAAAATGGAGGTTTTTCTGAGCAGAAGACTTACCCTGAGGGCTATTATGGGGTACCTGGGCACAATGGTGGTTCCTCCATCTAAGACACTCCTTGCATGCCCTATTTCATCACCAAAGACATATCATCCCAAAGCAAATAAGTTTTTTTGTAATTCATTGTTTAATCCAATAACTATAACCAATTTTGAAAAAATGTTGCCCTATTTCATCACCAAAGACATATCATCAAATACATTTCTAAATTTATCCCAAAATAAAATAAATTTTTGTAATTGATTTTTTAATCCAATAACTGTATCACAAATTTTGAAGAACTGAAAAATCTGAAGGTTAAGCATGTTCCAGTTCACAGGCAAGGCCAGGTCACACTAGAATTGAGAGAAATCCAATTCCTTGAGCATTCTTAAAGTGTTTAGCGGCTTCGGAATTGCAACTTATTTTAGCCATGACGGTCACGAATGGAGGAACTCCGCTCTCTCCTCACTGCAGATCAACCTACATTTGTTTTCATTGTCATGAAAATGCAGTGATCCCCAGATTTTCATGACAAATATATTATCAATCTTTTGGTGTGTTTTTTAAAGGGTTGCCATGATGAGTCTCCATTTCACCCAATGTTTCACAAGGTCTCCAAAGTCATACCTGCACACTTGGCCTCTTCCATTGCATCTCAGGTCAGTTATTCCACAGTGGGCCTGTCCGGTCCAAGGAACAGGAGGGAGAGACTTGAAGCTCCCACATAATTATGCCTGGAGGAAGTTTCTTTGTTTGAAACTGTTAATTGCCCCAAGTGCATTGGCACAAAGGAAGTCAATATGTGCAGTACATAACATAAATACATTGGGCTGTATCCAAGGCTGCCATTTTGGTCATGCACAGACCTCTGCTTGCACAATGAAGCTTATCCCTCTTCTCCTCACTGCACCCCTCTGAGCACCCTCAAAGTCTGCGCCAGAGGGTATGGGGACCCTCTGGAGCAGATTTGGGGGTTGTACAGGAGAGAGGAAAGGAAGGAACAGTCAGTCTCAATGCACAAGCAGCTCTCCACTGGAAACAACCCTTCGTAGGGACCCTGCTCTGTAACTTCTCTAGGCAATTGTCAAATCGACAGTTGCTGACGTCCTTTGCAACTCTTTCTTAATCTTTCAACAGGCTACGGAAACCTCTGTCCCCAAACGAAAGAAGGTCAGCTCTTTTGTATTATTTTTGCTCTCTTTGGAATCCCCTTCAACCTCCTCTGCTTTAACTATATTGGCACTTCAATCTCAAGATTCTTCGAAAGCTGTACAGAGAAAGTGTATGGGAAAGGAAGGAAGGTAATTCAGCTACTTTATCTGGAGATAATTTCTAATCTTACCAATCACAAGACTGAGGCCGACATAGACTGCTATAGACATAGACAGCACTCAGGTCCTGTATGCAGGTTTCCTGTGGGCATCTGGTCAGCTTCGATGAGAACAGGATTCTCAACTAGATGGGCCCTTGCCTGATCCAACAGATCTCTTCTATTATATTGCATATACATATGCATATCTGATTAGCTGCCTCTATAAGAGGTGGAAGACAAGGATAAATTAGACATGTGCATTATGCCATCTGAGGAAGATAAACTTGAACTGTGCCTTCAATTAAGAATGAAATACCACCATAGAGCTTGACCACCATGAATTGTGATATCAGCAGGAAATTGTGCTCCAGATGAAGTTTAACGGGTGGAATTATTATTATTTATCTGTTAACGCAGCCTAAAATAACAGTGCATGGCTGAAGGTCAAGAGGACTGAGCTCTGTTGCATCAAACCTGCCTCTTTTCTTTTCTTTTCTTGCTTTATCTTTCAGAAATCAGCAAGATACATTTTCGTGTTCGTGGTTCTGGGAATTCTAATGTTTCTTATTTTGCCAGCATTCTTCTTTCAATGGATGGAGGGCTGGGCTTATTATGAAGCTATCTATTTTACATTTGTTACACTCAGCACCATTGGTTTTGGAGACTATATAATAGGTAAGGCTTTCAAAATACTTTGATATTGTGGGCTTAACTGATTGTACAGATAAAGCGAGGTCATTTGTGGCCTCAAGGTACTGGTGGCAGTAATAGGTAAACTGTCCCCAATCCCATCCCCACTAATTCCCCTGCCGCACCACCCATTATTCCACCACGCAGCACAAAACCTCCAGATTAAAACCTGGCAAACCAAAGGCTTATATTGCCTAATGGACTTCTAGAAAAATAACAAACCCTTGTCAACACAAGAAATACAAGACAAACTAGAAGATACCCAAATGCCCTGGTTAACACATCAGCAATTGCATACCCTCTTAAACAATCCAGCAGTAAAATCAACAGCAACTAGGCCTTTGGCGACCTTCAAAACCTCTTTCTAACAACAAAGGGACAGGTAGAGGAATGGTATCCAGAATATACAAAATACTACTACAAAATCCCACGAACTCCCTAGGCACAATCAAAAAACAATGGGAGGATGACGTAGGCTATGAGATTAACCCCACTCAATGGAACAAAATGTGTTCTAAACCCCCCTTTAAATCCATATCAACAAAAAGAAAAGATCTCACCCTGAAACTCACCTACAGGTGGTACCTAACACCAAGAAAACTAGCTAATATGCCCAGGAACCTCACCAAAATGCTGGAGAGGGTGCACATCCACAGGCACATACCTCTACATGTGGTGGGAGTGCCCCAAAACCCAACTATTCTGGACAAGAACCATATGAGAGATAAGTAAAATAACCAAGCAAGTATTAGAAACCACCCCAGAATTGGCCTTACATCTTCCAAGACAATAATGCCCACTTACATTGCAAAGAACTCATAACCCACCTACTTTAAGCATCCAGAATCATCATAGCCAAACACTGGAGAGACCTGTCAGGAGTAAGCATGGACCAATGGTACCAAATAGTATGGGAAACAGCCTGACTAGAAAAATTATCCAATAAACTAAAACTGACAAGGGGACAAATAGAAGAAGACACCTTCAACCCGGTATGGCTCCCCTTTATCACGTACACAGCCCAACAAGACAATGACAAAAACCCATCAACAGCATACAAATCAATATGGCTAACCTGATCCAAAACACCCACCCACCCCACTCACACATGAAAACAAAGACCACCACAGCCAACCTCAAATGAATAACCACATCCTAGGCCAACCCCAACCTCTCTCACCACCAAAGGAACACAAGTGAACAGCAAAGAACCTGCACAAGCAATGCTGACACCAAACCCTACATATAGTAAGTAAAAGAGAAACATCACCACCCGACCCCAACCCCACTCATCTTCCTCCCCTTTTCTTCCTAATGTCTCAACAAATGAAACTGATTTGTAAAAATGTTACATGGAAAAAATACGAGAGAGAGACATTGCACACACTTTTGTAAATCAATAAAGTCTTTAATTAAAAAAAGGGGGGGAGGTACTGGTGGCAACCAATCTGCTGTACTGAAGAATATGAAAGCTCAGTTCAGGTTTCATAAAAAATGATGACTTGCAATGATTATAATCTGGAACCCAAACCATATTTTAAGTTTCTCAAGTACAGACCCTCCAAGTATCCCTATTTTCCAGGAACAGTTCTGGATTTACAGAAGCCATCCCAAAGAGTACTCATCAATGGTTCCTCAACATCCTGGAAAAAAGTGACAAGTGGTGTGCCACCAGGTTCTGTTCTTGGCCTGTTGTTGTTCAATGTCTTTATAAATGCTTGGCTGAATGAACTGAGAGGATGCTTCTCAAATGTACAGATGACACCGAACTCGGAGGGGTAGCTAATGCCACAGAAGACAGAATCACAATTCAGAATGACCTTAACAGATTGGAGAACTGGGCACAAGCTAACAAAATACATTTCAATAGGGACAAATGTAAGGTTCTGCGCTCAGTCAAGAAAAACCAGCTGCACAAATATAGGATGGGGGCCACCTGGCTTACTAGCAGTACATGCGGAAAGGATCTAGGGGTCTTGGTGGACCACAAGCTTAACATGAGTCAACCGTGTGTGTGGGGGGGGGGAGCTAACTCTATTCTCGGCTGCATCTGTAGAAGTATAGTGTCCAGATCAAGGGAAGTAATAGTACCACTATTCTGCCTTGGTCAGAACACACCTAGAATACTGTGTCCAGTTCTGGGCACCACAGTTTAAGAAGGCTGTTGACAAGTTGGAGCATGTGCAGAGAAGGGCAGCCAAGATGATCAAGGGTCTGGAAACCAACCCTTATGAGGAATGGTTGAAGGAGCTGGATATGTTTAGCCTGGAAAAGAGGAGGCTGAGAGGAGACAAGGTAGCCAACTTCAAATATATCAAGGGCTGTCACATGGAAGAGGGAGCATGCTTGTTTTCTCTTGATCTTTAGAGTAGTATAATGATCTCAGGCAGTCAGATGGCTCCAGTATGCAGTAACGAGCCTCTGGAAAATTCATGTACGTTTATTTACAGGTCAAAGAAACAAAGCGCGGCACACACCAATCATTCTCTGGTAATCAGTTGCTCAGTCTGAGTTTCCGTTCCTCAGACAACACAAGGTTCGACAACGTCTGGCCCTGCTCCTCTGACCTTACATAGCCTTCTCACCTTCTCCTCCCTCCTGCTGTGAGGAGACCATAGGAACTCCCTCTTTTTGTTCTCCACTGAAGATTCCCCTGAACTCTTTTCCCTTCATGGTTGCCTAGTAACCTCAAGATGTCTCTCCCTTAGGTCTCATTCTCTGTTACTCTGCCAACTTTGTAAGACTGAGAAGGAAGGGGGTCAAGTTAACCCACTCCTGTCCTGCCTGTGATGGTGTTCTCTCATTGTCCAAGTCAGACCCCTCCCATTCGTCTGAACCTGGTAGATCCCTGACAAGTAGGACTCAAGCCAATGGCTTCAAGTTGCAAGAAAGAAGATTCGGACTAAACATTTGGGGGAAATTGTGACAGTCAGATCTGTTCAGCAGTGGAACAGACTCCCATGAGAGGTGGTGGACTCTCCTTCCTTGGAGGTTTTTAAGCAGAGGTTGGATGGCCATCTGTCATGGATGCTTTAGCTGAGATTCCTGCATTGCAGGGGGTTGGGCTGGATGCATCAAACATGAAAGAAAGGAAAATGCTCAATATGTTTTCCTGGACAGTGATTTTGCACCTTTCTCTTGGTTGGAACTGCAACTCCACTCCCATTGTTCAGCCCGGACACTGAGGTCCATCTCTGTGGGCCTTCTGATGGGTCCCTCACTGCAAGAAGTGAGGTTACAGGGAACCAGGAAGATGTCAAGGAGATAAAGAACTACACAACCTTTAGAAGACATCTAAAGGCACCCCTGTATAGGGAAACAAAATACAGTGGTACCTCGGGTTATGTACTTAATTTGTTCCAGAGGTCTGTTCTTAACCTGAAACTGTTCTTAACCTGAAGCACCACTTTAGCTAATGGGGCCTCCCACTGCTGCTGCGCCGCCGCTGCACGATTTCTGTTCTCATCCTGAAGCAAAGTTCTTAACCTGAAGCACTATTTCTCGGTTAGCGGAGTATGTAACCTGAAGCGTATGTAACCCGAGGTACCACTGTAAAAAAATTCCTTCCAGTAGCACCTTAGAGACCAACTAAGTGTGTTATTGGTATGAGCTTTCGTGTGGATACACACGTCTTCAGATGTATATCAATAACAAACTTAGTTGGTCTCTAAGGTGCTACTGGAAGGATTTTTTTTATTTTGTTTCGACTACGGCAGACCAACACGGCTACCTACCTGTAAATGTACAGTGAAGTTTGTAATGTTGTATGTTTTATAATGTTTTGATATATGCTGGAAGCCTCCTAGAGTGGCTGGGGAAACCCAGTCAGATGAGTGGGGTACAAATATTATTATTATTAAGCAGGAAGTTATAGGATGTGCACAGATTAGGAATGTGGTAGGGCAACCACCCCAAAGCTTTTGCAGGCCAAAATAGCATAATGTGCCCAAACCATCACAAATAGGCAATAATAAGGACATTGGCAGTTTCCTGTGTTCGCCTTCCCACAATTCAGTGGTAGAAATGTCTTTTAAATGTATGGTGTGAATGTGAGCTAACGAAGTTTAGATAAACTGAATTGGTGAGTCCTTTAAATCACCTCCTCACACATTATTGTTGCTTTTCTCTGTGTCTCCAGGGATTAAGCAGGACAGGACGTATTTTCCGGGCTACCGGATGCTCGGAGCCGCTTGGATCGTCGTTGGTCTGGCCTGGATAGCTGTGTTGTTTCAACGGGTATCTTCATTCCTGGCACCTGTGGATCCAAAACCAAGCTCACCTAAAAAGAGTAAACGGTGAAGATAACACCACCCCAAAGGAGTCAGTCTGCTACATGTCCACTGGAGAAGAATTTATCATTGCATTCTGGTGGAGACAGACATAAAAATCAGCTAAACTCAAGAACTTCTGCTGAGCTTTTTATAATTGTATGGCAGTGTGACATTTAACTGATTCCTTAAAAACACACTAGCTGCTCTTTAAGTTATGCAGTTCCTAATAAACTGTGAAATAGCCGGGTATTCTGCAGCCAAGAGCGGGAGGGTCGGTCTTACTCGGACTGTGTGCAGAGGAGAGCAACCAAGATGATCAAGGGTCTGGAAACCAAGCCTTATGACGAGTGGTTGAAGGAGCTAGGTATTTTAATTCTGGAAAAGAGGGGACTGGGGGAGATATGAAAGCCATCTTCAAATATCTCAAGGGCTGCCACATGGAAGAGGGAGCATGCTTGCTTTCACCTGCTCTGGAGGGGAGGACTCAAACCATAGCTGTCAACCTTCCTTTATTTGGAGGGAAACTTCCTTATTCCAGCGCCGCTTCCTGCTGCTACCCCGGATTGTTGATATCGCGTAAATTTCCCGGATTTCAAAGGAAGCAGCTCCTCTCCCTCCCTGCCGGCCAGGGAGGCTCCTCAGCTGCGTTGCTCGGCTGTGTTGCTCACCACTAAGCAGTCTGAGAACCACTGGGGGGTGGAGCTTGCATGCCTTGTGCTGATCAAATTGGCCGCGTTGCCTAGGGACTCGCCTTTGCTCAGCGCTTCCCAGCGGAGAGGTGACGGTGTGGTTTTCCTTGCTGCATCCCCTTTGCCGGGTTGCTGCGCTGTGGGAACCACTGCTTGAGGCTTCGTTTGGCTGCTGGCTGGGATTTCTGCTTTTGGGCTTTTGGCTCTGAGGGGCTCTACTCTCTCTGTCTGTCTGTGTGTGTGCGTGTGAGAGAGAGTGAATGTGTCACTTAAGCTGATAGTAGGAATGCTGTAGCTTCACACACTTACCTTCACACAATGTGTAATTAACTTGGGGAATTTTTTTACCGCAGGATGTGGTGAGGTCAGTACTTTAGATTTACAAGGGGATCTGAGAGATGAATGGGAGTTACGGTTTGTCAGTATTAATGGACAGCTAAATAGAAACTTAACCCCCAAAGTTAGGACCAAGATTCAAATCCTGACTGGGTAACTTTGCTCACTAGTAAGATTGAACCATGAGGACGAGGTGGTTGGACAGTGTTCTCGAAGCTACCAGCATGAGTTTGACCAAACTGTGGGAGGCAGTGGAAGACAGGAGGGCCTGGGACAGGTGAGGCTGCTGATCCCTTATTTTCAAATCTGAAAGTTGACAGCTATGATTCAAACCAATGGCTTCAAGTCTGTGATGTAGGTATGATGTTTCTGGGGGTGGTCTTGGACTCCAGGGCGGGCAATTTAAAATGTCTATATAAGGGCTTGCACGCATGGCTCAGGGTCCTCCTCCTCTCTCCTGCATGTGGGGGAGCACCCTGTTGCAACAGTTAATAAATATCAGGCTTACGGGCTGCTTTGCTTCTCAATATTCTCTGGTTGGTCTCTGTTATTTTCTCCTACCCACAGAGAGCCTACAAAAGGACTCTGTTTGGGCTCTTGGGTATCCCATAAGGGAAAAGGAGCAGGTTTTTTTTTTACTTATATCACATGGATGCAGCCTCACTACCAGGGGTATCTGATGACAAATGCCGACTCCCTCGGACTGAAAGCAGAGATGTGCGCCACACTTCATAGTTAAATTTGACTGGACTTAATCATCCTCGGGTTCTTTACCTTTTATCTTTATTACTTCCTGTGATCGGGACACTATTTCTGTTGATGTAGCCTAGAGTCACTTTGGAGAATAGAAGAAATGGTGGAAACTGTTGTACTTTAAGAAATAGGGTTTATTCAGCTATTCACACCTTCAGTCTGCATGGAGGAAGTCCAGATCTTACGGCATGGTCAGTTCAAGAGGCAGCAGTGCAGGCATACAGCCTCTCTCTCCAAGATGGATCTCTCCTTCCCTCCCCCACCTTCTTTCTCCCAGAAACCCCTTGCCCTCCCCCAGAGCAGGTACCCTGGCAACCTCCCAAATCCCCAGTCTTTGTTCACACCTAGGGTCAAGAGAGAAGTTCCCTTGCATTGTTAATGGCTCCTATAGTACTCTTGATAGCCCTGGGTCAGCCAGGTTGATTTGCATAAGCCAGCCCAGGAATTATCTGTCTGGAACAGCTCTGCATCTTATGTTCTAATCTAATCCAATTGATCAAAATCCTAGCATTTATTCATTCTGAGGGCTTAACAATAGCATTAGCTTTGCTGCTGCATCACACTATTGACTCATGTTCAATAACTTTATTATTTAAAGTTTATTGTGGGGTCTGATCTTCCTACCAGCCTCTCAGACCTGGAGGCTTTCAGCAGCCCATCAGGTACAGAGGGCATGACCTCACAGAGGACCAGGTAAGCCAGTCCACAAAAGAGAGTAATATACCCATGACCTCATAGAGCCCATGAAGGTGTGGTCAGGCTGCTTCTACCAAATAGCTACCCAGTGAAAGAGAAGCACTGATACTCTCCCATCAGATATTGGAAGTCAAAGAAGTGGATCATTTAAGAGGATTTCGAATCAAAGGACCCTGTCAGGGTGAGTGAGGAGCCAAGCAAAGGCCTCTCCGCTCCTTTCAATTCCCTCCTCCAAATGACCCCTGGGCTGGTTATAGATGTGGGAAAACACATTGGCTCCAACATGACAAAACCTCCTGGTTTTCTTCCTCCATGTTTCCCAATAAGTGTGTTTTGACATGCAGTGTCCTAACATTCCAACTTTCCTGGTAAATCATTGAAGCAGTCTTGATTTTTCACAGTCAATATAATCTTTTATTTTGTTGTTGTTTAGTTGTTTAGTCCTTTAGTCCTCTCTGACTCTTCGTGACCCCATGGACCAGAGCACGCCAGGCACTCCTGTCTTCAATCTTTTATTTTAGACGCCTATAAAACATGAAGCACATTTTCCCCTAGTTTTTCTAGCAACATATTCACATATGGTTTTGTCCTCAGAGCTTCCTTGCAATGTCATATTCTAGACACATTTTTGGGGGGAGAAACAGCAGCCGTGTAGAAGGCAAAGTAAAGGGGGAGATGGGGTGAAAAAAACACAAAACTCTATACTTCACAGAGTTGTTATTGTAATTCACCAGATCTTAACCTATTACAGTATTTCCCGATTTTAAAAGACGTGTTTCCCCACAAAGCCATTTTGTCATGGGAGAAAAGGTCAAATTTATATTTTTTGAACATGTGATGCCATATCGTTTGAACTAATGTTATTTTTTCAATAGTATCTTGAATATTAATGTATTTAGACCCTAGTGCCACCCATCTTTCTTGCAGGGCTACATAGGAATATTCCAAGGTAGCCCAATTTGGAGTTACTTTCAATTGTGGGTCTCCAGAATTGTGTACCTGACAGTAAATATGCTTAGTGATACAGTTCTAAAGAGCATTGTCTTTCCCCTACAAGGTCAGGTTCAATGACTGCTCTCTGTTGATATACATTGATAAGTCATGATACATTTTGTTGATGTTTAATAATGCTAATTTAGATCAATCTTGTGGTAATAATAACACACAGTTGACTCATGTTCAGCTTGTGGTCCACCAAGACCCCTGGGTTCTTTTTGCATGTACTGCTACTTAGAAGACGAGTTTGGATTTGATATCCCGCTTTATCACTACCCGAAGGAGTCTCAAAGCGGCCAACAATCTCCTTTCCCTTCCTCCCCCACAACAAACACTCTGTGAGGTGAGTGGAGCTGAGAGACTTCAGAGAAGTGTGACTAGCCCAAGGTCTCTCAGCAGCTGCATGGGGAGGAGTGGGGAAGCGAACCCGGTTCACCAGATTACGAGTCCACCACTCTTAACCACTACACCACACTGGCTCTCCCATCTTCTATTTGTGCATCTGGTTCTTCCTGCCTAAGTGCAGAACCTTACATTTGTCCCTGTTGAAATTCATTTAGTTAGCTTGGGTCCAGCTATGGAGAGTGCCCAGCTATGGGGCTGTACTATTGAGTCTGGGTCAAGACAAATAAGGACTTGCTTACTAACCTATAGTCGCTCTTGCGTCTGCTTCTTCCTTGGCCCTCATTCCCACACAGAACAACATGCGTGTGAGCAGGACACAGGGCATCATACTGCTGGCTGGCTTCCTGACTTACGTGGTGATGGGGGCCCTCGTCTTTGAGATTCTGGAGAAGGATCACAACAAAAAAGTAATAGATACAGTGTTTCACCTGAAACATGATTTTCTTTTGAACTACACCGCTCGCACCCCAGAAGAGGTGGAGTTATTCATACAGGTAAGGCATTACTTCAGGAAGACTGAAAGAGATGACTAAGGCATGACACCAGAGGTTAAGAGGTCAGAAAGTATATATGGGGGGAATACAGTTTAGGGGGTGGGAATTGAGGTGGGGACAGAATTGTTGTTGTTTAGTCGTTTAGTCGTGTCCGACTCTTCGTGACCCCATGGACCAGAGCACGCCAGGCACTTCTGTCTTCCACTGCCTACCGCAGTTTGGTCAAAACTCATGCTGGCAGCTGGGACAGAATTAGTGGCCAGCATAAAGCCGTAAGGACTCACCCTTCCTTCTGCATGTGAAATTTTATCCCCATGGAGGGTTAGGCAAATTGATGGAGGGTAAGACAATGAATGGCTACTAACCATTATGGCTCTGTTCTGCCAACATTGTTGGAGGCAGCCTGGGCTTCTCCACACTGAGCTTTCCTCCACTCTTTCCAGGCCTGGCCATGATTTAAAGCTCCGTGTCTGAGCACCATTTCGTTGCTCTGGGGCTTTCCTCGTGAAAACCAGCTTGTTAACGGGAATCCATTGAAAACCCAAATTGACTTTTGCTCCGATTCAGCTATAAGGAGCAGGTTTTTGTTAGTATTAGCACTGTATTTGTTGGGAAACGTATTTTGCAAAGAATAATTTAGGGAAAGGAGAACATACATCATGTAGCAGCTGCAAAACAGGTGACTCCAATCAAGGTCACAGAAAAGCTGAATCATTGCCACGGAAAACCCAAATTTACGTTTCCTCCAATTCAGCTATTAAGGGTGGGTTTTTGTACATTCAAACCTTGGTTGTTGAACTTAATCTGTTCTAGTAGTCCGTTCGACTCCTGAAATGATTCAAAAACCAAGGCGTGGTTTCCGATTGGCTGCAGGCACATCCTGCACTCAATTGGAAGCCGTGGAAGCTGTGCCAGACATTCGGCTTACGGAAAACATTCGCAAACCGGAACACTCACTTGTGGGTTTGCGATATTTGGGAGCCAAAATGTCAGAGTACCCAGGCATTAAAAAACCAAGGTTCAACTGTACTATATTTGTTGGGACACGTATTTTATAAAAATATATTGGGAAAAGGAGAACATACGTCATGTAGCAACTGCAAAACAGGTGACTCTGTTCTAGGTCACAGGAAAGCTGAATCATTGTCTGGTTAACTGCTTTGAAAAGTGTGTTTGTGCCTTATAACAGAGAGTGGGAGATGGGGTAGTCTCACCATTGTTTGGTTGACTGAGAATATGGGAGAGCCAATACCCCAAGCAGACTCTGTCCAGAAGAATTTATGAAGACAGCCAAGCCAAGGGGTAATGATTTATGCATTGCTACTAAAGTGTATGTTTTTGGAGCGAGAAGACCAAACCCTCTCTTGGACTCAAGGGAGACAAACACTTAGTATTGAACTTGAGATATAAACAACACAGCTTGTTATAGTGTTGCCATCAGTGTTATTGGAGTGCGGCCTTTGCCTGGAAAGAGTGTAGGAAAAGTTGTGTGTGCATAAGCCCTATGCCTACCAGTTACTGGGGGTGACAAGTGAGGGGAGGGCTGTTGTGCTCAGGAGCTTCTGGAGAACGATCACCACAAAAAAGTAGAAGAGGCATGAAGGAGGAATTTTTTTGGAGCTACACCAATCTCAGCCCAGAAGAGGTGGAGTTATTCATACAAGTAAGGCATTACTTCAGCAATACTGAAAAGAGATGACTGTGGCATGACAACAGAGGTCGAGAGGTCAGAAAGTATATATGGGGGGAATACAGTTTAGGAGGTGGGAATCGAAGTGGGGACAGAATCAGTGGCCAGCATAGAGCCTTCCTCCTGCATGTGGAATGTTATCCCCATGGAGGATTAGGCAAATTGATGGAGTGTATGTTTTTGGAGGAAGGAGACCAAATCCTCTCTTGGGGTCAAAAGAGAGAAACACTTAGTATTGAACTTGAGATATAAACAATACAGCTTGTTATTCAGTTGTCATCAGGCTATTTTTCTAGGAAAAGAGGTGTCGGAAGTTCCCGGAACTCACCATGAACACCTCCCTCCTTCTCCTATAATGGCAAAGGCACCCACTTGAGAGGTGCCAGAACTGAGTTCCAGAGAGTTCCTGCTGAAAAAAAGCCCTTGTTGCCATCCTGACCAGTCAAGACTTGTTTTCAAGTCTTGTGTAAGGAGTCTACTTTATCACTAAGCTTTGAGGGTGAAACCACTGAATCACTCTCAACAACCCATACACAGACCACAGTTTTCACTGGGAAAGCTTGGTGCGAACCACAACAAGCACCCCTTGGAGTGCGGACCTTTGCCTGGAAAGAGTGGAGGAAAAGTTGAGTGTGCATAAGCCCTATGCCTACCAGTTACTGGGGGTGACAAGTGAGGGGAGGGCTGTTGTGCTCAGGTCTTGTTTGTGGGCTTCCCCTGAGCATTGGGCTGGCCACTGGGGGAAGAACGTGCTGGACTGTTCCAGAAGAACTTCCCTTCTGAGTGCATAGCGATTTGGTTAGCAGTATCTGGTGATAATCAGAGGAGGGGCTATTCTTATTGCTGGAATACTCAAACTGAGTCTTGCCTTCAATTGCAGAAATTAATAAGATATGTTCGGAAGGGCATAATTCCAGCAGCAACCCACCCTTCAGAAAAATACAGCAACTGGGATTTCGCTAATTCTTTCTTCTTCGTGGGCACTATGTTAGCCACAATAGGTACTGTCATTTGGTTCTGGCTTCTCCCCGAATATAGTATGCAGGGCATTCAACTGCTCTCAGATAAATTGTGTTAAGCTGCAGGCTTTGCTTTTGCTCTGTCATCATTCTTCACACCTCATTTTTGTCCTCCCTGTTCATTTATTATATGCCCAACGAGCCCATTCCCTGATTAGTTATTTATTCCCCTCCATTCTGGGGCCAACCCATTATTAAAACTACTTTGTGGAAAGTAGTTGGGCTAGGGAAACGAGTTCAAATCCCACCTGGTGCAACTGACCCCATGCCAGTCTCCCAATGCAAATCCGTCCCTCTCAGCACAACCCTATACATTCAGTGGGACTTGCTCCCCAAATAAATTATCATTGATAATTTAAGACAAGCTTCTTGCTTTGTTTTTCAGCCTCTTAAATAATGCCTCTTCTTAAAACAGAAGCCAATTTGCATTCTGGATAAGAATTAATTAATAAGAAGTAATTGGCAGATAGATCAGCCAAGTCTTAATTGAGGCCAATCGCAAAGGAAACTAAAATGGAGGTTTTTCTGAGCAGAAAGCTTACCCTGAGGGCTATTATGGGGTATCTGGGCACAAGGGTGGTTCCTCTGTCTAAGACGCTCCTTGCATGCCCTATTTCATCACCAAAGACATATCATCCCAAAGCAAATAAGTTTTTTGTAATTCATTGTTTAATCCAATAACTATAACCAATTTTGAAAAAAAATTGCCCCATTTCATCACCAAAGACATATCATCAAATACATTTCTAAATTTATCCCAAAATAAAATAAGTTTTTTGTAATTCATTTTTTAATCCAATAACTGTATCAGAAATTTTGAAGAACTGAAAAATCTGAACAGGCAAGGCCAGGTCACACTAGAATTGAGAGAAATCAAATTCCTTGAGCATTCTTAAAGTCTTTAGGGGCTTGGGAATTGCAACTTATTTTAGCCATGACGGTCACGAATGGAGGAACTCAGCTCTCTCCTCACTGCAGATCAACCTACATTTGTTTTCATTGTCATGAAAATGCAGTGATCCCCAGATTTCATGTACAAATATATTATCAATCTTTTGGTGTGTTTTTTAAAGGGTTGCCATGATGAGTCTCCATTTCACCCAATGTTTCACAAGGTCTCCAAAGTCATACCTGCACACTTGGCCTCTTCCATTGCATCTCAGGTCAGTTCTTCCACAGTGGGCCTGTCCGGTCCAAGGAACAGGAGGGAGACACTTGAAGCTCCCAAATAATTATCCTACCACCAAGTGCATCCGCATAAAGGAGATCAGTGAGTGCAGTACATAAAATAAATACATTGGGCTGTATCCAAGGCTGCCATTTCGGTTGTGCACAGACCTCTGCTTGCACAATGAAACTTACCACTTTTCTCCTCTCTGTACCCCTCTTAGCACCCTCAATGTCTGCTCCAGAGGGTATGGGGATCCTCTGGAGCAGATTTGGGGGTTGAACAGGAGAGAGGGAAGAAAGGAACAGTCAGTCTCAATGTACATGCTGCTCTCCACTGGAAACAACCCTTCGTAGGGACCCTGCTCTGTAACTTCTCTAGGCAATTGGCAAATCGACAGTTGCTGACGTCCTTTGCAACCCTTTCTTAATCTTTCAACAGGCTATGGAAACGTCTCTCCGCAAACGAAAGAAGGTCAGATCTTTTGTATTATTTTTGCTCTCTTTGGAATCCCCTTCTGCCTCATCTGCTTGAACTATATTGGCTTTTTAGTCTCAAGACTCTTCGAAAGCTGTTCAAGGAATGTGTTTGGGAAAGGAAAGAAGGTAATTCAGTTACTTTATCTGGAGATGATTTTTAATCTGCCCAGTCAGACTGAGGCTCTGGCCTGGTGGAAGCTCTGTCTCATGAGACCAGGGCCCTGTGGGATCTGATTTCTTTCCGCAGGGCCTATAAGACAGAGTCATTCCGCCTGGCCTTTGGCTTGGAGCCAATTTGATTCCCTCCCCCTCTTTTTCCTTTCTCCTCCTGTGAAGAGGCTGCATCTTAATGTTTTAATGTTGTATTTTAATCTTGTTTTTTAAATTGTGTTTTAATCAACTTGTTTTTATTATCGGTTGTTAGCCGCCCTGAGCCAGGTCTTGGTTGGGGAAGGTGGGGTATAAAAAATATATATTATTATTATTATTATTAGCTGCCTCTATAAGAGGTGGAAGACAAGGATAAATTAGACATGTGCATTATGCCCTCTAAATAAGTGAGGAAGATAAATTCAAGCTCTGCCTTAAAATAGGAATGGGAGAAGCTCGCCAAATTATTTGTTTTAAGAAGCTCATATTTTTGAAACATAGCTGTTTGTCTTTAGTAAAACTGGCTCCGGTATAAATTTGCAAAATATCTCTTCCTAAATTCATGGAATTAATTTTTCTTAATTCTCCAAAATGTTTGTGGGTGCGAGGGTGTGTGCAACAATGTACAGCTTAAAAGTGTACAATGCACAGCTTAACAAATCGTCACCTTTTCATGCATAAACGTTAACAAAATGTACAACACAGTTTAGATATTACAAACTCGGACATTACTTTCCCCTATAGTTCCATTTTTTTCAGTGTTTAGAAAATCAAGTTTGCCAAGTTAACTTGGGATTACAACAGACCAAGGCTTTTAGTTACTTGCCTGTTTCTAAAACGAAATCCTTTTTCCCAAGCCTCTTATCCTATCCGTTCTATCTTCTTTACTCAGAATTTCCCCCTCACACTCCTGGTCTAGTCTAACAATAATTTTTAAATAAAGCCCATTCAGCCTCAATGGGGTGGGGGAGGGCATAGTAAAACCTTGTTAAATTCTTTATTAAGCACAAATCAAAGCCTCCCCCTTCTTGCAGGGGAGGACAAGAGAGAAAAGAATCATTTGGATGAAAGCACAAAGTGCTTTGTCCTCCCCTTTCCTTTTTGGCTGCTGTAAGGAATTTCAAGCTTCAGGAAAAAAACATTCAAATAACTTCGAAGAACCAAATCCCATCCTTTCGGCAACTGATTGCAGCCCATTATCATATACCATTTCAGGAGTGCCTCATGATTAACGGCAATATTCCAAACTGGTGATCCCAAATCATGCCAGAGATGGAGGTTCGTCCATGGCAAGGACACCCTTCCCAGGGCACACCCGTTCTGCCTTTCAAGTTGGCAGAAACGGGCTTAAACGACACCGCGGGATGCAGTGAACTCCCCAGAACCATCTGAGGAGCATTGCCAGGAATCTTACCTCATAAATCCTGGCTTTCCCCTGCCTGAACAGCTCCTCTGCCCCAGAGGGCAGTAGAGCTTGACCACCATAAATCATGACAGCAGCAAACCATGCTCCAGATGAAGTCTAATTAGGGTGGAATTATTATTATTTATAGGGATGCGGGTGGCACTGTGGGTTAAACCACAAAGCCTAGGACTGGCCAATCATAAGGTCGGCAGCTTGAATCCCTGTGACGGGGTGAGCTCCCGTTGCTCGGTCCCTGCTCCTACCAACCTAGCAGTTCAAAAGCATGTCAAAGTGCAAGTAGATAAATAGGTACCGCTCCGGCGGGAAGGTAAACGGCGTTTCCGTGCGCTGCTCTGGTTCACCAGAAGCGGCTTAGTCATGCTGGCCACATGACCTGGAAGCTGTACGCCAGCTCCCTTGGCCAATAAAGCAAGATGAGCACTGCAACCCCAGAGTCGGTCACGACTGGGCCTAATGGTCAGGGGTCCCTTTACCTTTTTATTATTATTTATCTGTTAATGCAGCCTAAAATCATTGTGCATGGCTCAAGGCCAAGAAAACTGAGTTCTGTTCCATTAAACCTTTCTTTTCTTTCTTTTCTTGCTTTATCTTTCAGAAAACAGCAAGATATATTTTCGTCTTCGTGGTTGTGGGAATTCTAATGTTTATTATTTTGCCATCGTTCCTCTTTCAATGGATGGAGGGCTGGACTTTTTATGAAGCTGTCTATTTTACATTTATAACACTTAGCACCATTGGTTTTGGAGACTATCTAATAGGTAAGGCTTTCAAAATACTTTCATATTGTGAGCTTAACTGGTTCTTGGGGTGTTATCCATGAAGAACTTTAAAAAATGTTAAAAGCATCTATACAAAAGAAACCAGAGGCATACTTATTAGGCTAACTGGGAAAAGACATACCTCAGAAAATGAAAGGAATTTTCTTATATGCTACAGCAGCTGCCAGGATAATATACGCTACCAAATGGAAAGTGAAGGAATACCCATGAAAGAAGAATGGTTATACAAACTAACTGAATTCATAGAAATGGCAATGCTAACTGCCTATATAAGAAGGCTGACAAACCAAAACAGAACATGTTGATATGCTTAGACTAAAGGAGTAAAGTAGAAAGGATAAAACCAATTAGGATGCAAAAAGGAAATTAAAATTCAATAACATAAAGATTGTACTGAAATTAAAAGTTAAGGAAGTTGAGGTGTGGTGGAGGGGAGTGATATGGGAATTCATGGGGGGTATAGGTTTATATATGTTTATATGTTTTTTCTTTTGTATTGAAAGGGTATCTTACCTTTTTCTTTTATGTAGTATGAAAATTTAATAATAATAATAATAATAATAATAGCCATCCCAATGAGTACTCATCAATGGTTCCTTGACATCCTGGAAAAAAGTGACAAGTAGGGTGCCACCGGGTTCTGTTCTGGACTTGTTGTTGTTCAACGTCTTTATAAATGCTTGGTTGAATGAATTGAGAGGATGCTTCTCAAATGTACAGCTGACACTGAACTCGGAGGGGTAGCTAATGCCACAGAAAACAGAATCAATTCAAAATGACCTTAACAGATTGGAGAACTGGGCACAAGCTAACAAAATGCATTTCAATAGGGACAAAAGTAAGGTTCTGCACTTAGTCAAGAAGAACCAGCTGCACAAATATAGGATGGGGGACACCTGGCTTACTAGCAGTACATGTGAAAAGGATCTAGGGGTCTTGGTGGACCACAAGCTTAACATGAGTCCACAGTGTGAAGCAGCAACAGCAACAGCAACAAAAAAAAGCTAATGCTATTCTCGGCAGCATCAGTAGAAGTATAGTGTCCAGATCAAGGGAAGTAATAGTACCACTCTATTCTGCCTTGGTCAGACCACACCTAGAATACTGTGTCCAGTACTGGGCACAACAATTTAAGAAGAATGTTGACCAGCTGGAAAATGTGCAGAGAAGGGCAGCCAAGATGATCAAGAGTCTGCAAACTAAGCCTTATGAAGAATGGTTGATCTCAAGATGCTGTCTAGGCCTGTCACACTTAACACACTTAACCCCAAAAGCCAAAGAGAGTAAAGGGAAAGGGTAAGAAAGAAAAAAGGATGAAGTACCACACCCATTTGACTCCCCTCCACCAGCACTCGACATCTTTGAGTCATTTAAGTTCTTATTTACATTGCTATCATTTATCATGGTGACAGCAGCCAAGAAATTAAAAGATGCCTGCTTCTTGGGAGAAAGGCAATGACAAACCTAGACAGCATCTTGAGAAGTAGAGACGTCACCTTGCCAACAAAGGTCCGTATAGTTAAAGCCATGGTTTTCCCAGTAGTGATGTATGGAAGTGAGAGCTGGACCATAAAGAAGGCTGATCGCGGAAGAATTGATGCTTTTGAATTATGGTGCTGGAGAAGACTCTTGAGAGTCCCATGGACTGCAAGAAGATTAAACGCATCCATTCTTAAGGAAATTAGCCCTGAGTGCTCACTGGAAGGACAGATCCTGAAGCTGAGGCTCCAATACTTTGGCCACCTCATGAGAAGAGAAGACTCCCTGGAAAAGACCCTGATGTTGGGAAAGATGGAGCACACAAGGAGAAGGGGACGACAGAGGACGAGATGGTGGGACAGTGTTCTCGAAGCTACCAGCATGAGTTTGACCAAACTGTGGGAGGCAGTGGAAGACAGGAGTGCCTGGCGTGCTCTGGTCCATGGGGTCATGAAGAGTTGGACACGACTAAACGACTAAACAACAACAACAATCATTTATTACTGTAATTACTTCTTTTATAGTACTATTATGGTATAACATCAAGTCACCTTACAAGCTTAGTCTAAACATATCAGCATGTTATCTTTAGGGCAGTGTTTGTTCATATATTCTTCGAACCATATCCACTCTGCCCTTAATTTCTGGTGTGTTTGATACCTTATTACCGTAATTAATTTTGCCAATTCTATAAACTCTGTTAGTTTAATTAACCAATCCTCTTTTGTAGGTATGTGATTTCCTTTCCAGTTCTTTACAAGGAGTATTTTGGCTGCTGCGATTGCATATAGAAATAATTTTCTCCTATCTTGTGGAGACTATGCTCAGCAGGAATGTCTCATGTTTTTTCCCCTATAGATATTCTGAGCATCTTTTTAATTCTTCATGGATGCAGCTTCAATTTTTCCGCCCTTTTTCGCATCCCCACCATAAGGGCATCACTTCCAGCAAAGGTTGGATTTGGTCTTATAGATTTTGGCAATCAATGGTGTCATGTGCCATCTATAAAACAACTTCATCATGTTCTCTTTTATAGAATAACAGGAAGTGAATGTCAGTCAATTTTCAATAGTCTTTCCCACTGGTCTAGTTCTATTGCATATCTGATATCTTGGGCCCATTTGATCTGTGCTTCTTTTATTTGTTCATCCTTTAGATCCCATTCTAGTAATAAATCATATACTTTAGATAGTAATTTTTTGTTACTTCCTAATACTTTTTGTAATTATGTTTTTTCTTCTTTAAAGCCTGATATATTTTTAATCCAAGCTAAAAACATTATTTAGTTGATGATACTGGAGCCAGCCCGTGAGATGGTACCTAATTTCTTCAAATGTTTTCAATTTTTATATATATATGATTGTTATTAATTTTCCAATAAAAACAAATTTATAACATCATTAAACATCAAAAACTCATCACATATCTTTTTTTCTTTTAGACTTCCATCAACATGTCTGATAATTTTCCGTAATTATCACAAATCTTCACATTTCTTAATTTATATTGCACTATATATATATCTTATCTTACCATGTTGTTTAAACAATATTTCTACCAAATCTTCTTACAGAGCTTCTTGAAAACTTACAAACGTTATATCATTATCACAAATATTTTTAATATATTCTGTAAATTTACTCCAGACCTCAGTGAATCTTTGGTCTCATCGGTTGTGAATCCTCCCTGTCAATCTGTCCAGTTCCGCGTAATCCATTAATTTCGATCTCCATTCTTCAATCGCAGGCATTTCTTCTTGTTTCCATTTCTGAGCCAAAAGAGTTCTGGCTGCTGTTACTGCATACAGAAATATTTTCTGATCATTCCTTTTTATTTCACCACCTAATATTCCTAATAGAAATGCTTCTGGTTTTTTAACAAATGTATATTTCAGTATTTTCTTTATCTCATTATATATCATTTCCCAGAAGCACTTCATTTTTTACATTACCACCACATATGATAAAATGTCCCTTCTTTCTCCTTACATTTCCAACATTTATTACTCACCTTATACATCTTACTTAATTTAACGTGTTATATACCATCGATATATCATTTTCATAACATTTTCTTTAATTGTGGTACATGCCGTAAATCTCATCCCTTCCACAATTTTATCCAATCATCAAACTGAATGTTATATCCAAAGTCTTTGGCCCATTGAACCATAACTGATTTAACCTCTTCATCCTTCAAATGCCATTCTAATAATAATTTATACATCATAGATACATTTTTAACTTCATTATTCAATACTTCTCGTTGAAACCTAGATTCTTTTTCAAAATAGCCTCTTTCTGTAACCTCTTTTCTAAACATTTCATTAATCTGAAAGTAATGCAACCAATCGTTTACATATTCTTTCACTTCTTCATATGGTTTCACTTTCCACTTACTTCCCTCTTTCTCAATTAAACTTCCATATGTTATCCACCTCCCAGTCATATTGATCTTTTTAACACTCATCACCTCTAATGGTGATAACCAGTGTGGTATTTTGGGTTCAAGTAGGTTTTTGTACCTACCCCATACCTCAATCAGAGATCCTCTAATAATATGATTTTCGAAACCTTTATGCACTCGTTTTTTTTCATACCATAAATATGCGTGCCAACCGAATCTATTATCATATCCTTCCAGATCTAGCAAATCTGTATTTTCTAATTTCATCCATTCTTTCAACCAACATATGCACGATGCTTCATAATATAATCTCATATCTGGCAGGGCGAAGCCTCCCCTCTCTTTTAAATCTGTTAACAATTTAAATTTTATTCTCGGCTTTTTGCCCTGCCAGATATATCTTGAAATCACTTTTTGCCACTCTTTAAATATTGCAACTCCTTTAATTATTGGAATTGCTTGGAACAAAAACAGCATTTTCGGTAACACACTCATCTTTATCGTTGCAATTCTTCCCCAAAATGATAATTTCATTCTACCCCACACCTCTAAGTCTCGTTTAACTTTGTTCCATACTGGTGCATAATTATTTTGAAACAAGTCAATATTTCTGGGAGTCAATACAATCACTAAATATTTCACTTTCTTTACCACCTCAATCTCAGTCTGTTGCTGTATTCTTTCACTAATTTATTGGTCTATGTTTCTCACCATTATTTTGGTTTTTTTCTTATTCAATTAAAAACCTGCCACCTGTCCAAATTCTTCTATTTCCTCTTTAATACTCTTTATGGGATCTTCTATCGTTATAACCAAGTCATCAGCAAATGCCTTTACTTTATATTGATTACGGCCAACTGACACACCTTTTAGCCGTTCATTGTTTCTTATTGAGCTTAGTAAGACTTCCAGGACTGATATGAATAACAACGGTGATAAAAGACACCCTTGTCTTGTACCCTTAGTTATTGCAATATTTTCCGTTATTACATTATTAACAATTAATTTTGCTCTTTGTTCGGAATATATTGCCTTTATACCATTTAGAAAAGACTGGCCCATATCCATCATTTCTAGATTTTTTAACATAAATTCCCAGGAAATATTATCAAAGGCTTTCTCCGCATCCACAAAAATTAACATTGCTTGTTTATCCTTCCTGTTAGTCAGATATTCCATTATATCAATTATATTTCTTATGTTATCTTTCATCTGTCTACCAGGAAGGAAACCTGCTTGATCCTTCTGTATCATTTCCTTTAAAATCCTTTTCATCCTATTCGCTAAAATGTTTGCAAACATTTTGTAATCATTATTTAATAATGAGATCGGCCTGTAATTCTTGTGTCAAGTCTGAGTCCTGTTTGGGAATGAAAGTTATATGGGCTTCTTTCCAAGTCTCTGTTATTTCTTCCTTTTTTAAGATGTTATTCATCACTTCTTTTAATGGTACTAACAGGGTGTGTTTCATTTGTTTATAATATCTTGCACTAAATCCATCCGGTCCCAGTGTCTTCCTACTTTTCAGTTCTCTTATTGCGTTTTTAATTTCATCCATTTCAATTGGCTCGTTCAATTTATTTTTATTACAATTCGATATTTTCTGCACCTCTTTCTTCTTTAAATAGTCCTCTATTTCTTTTGTATTACATCTCCCCTTTCTTTTGTACAATTCTCTATAGAAGTCTACAAATCCTTTCCTAATTCCTTTCGGATTTTCAATATCTTGATCTTCCACTTTTATTTTATTTATTATATTTTGCTCTTTCCTTCTTTTAATTTGCCATGCCAACCATTTTCCAGACTTATTTGCAAATTCAAAATTCCTCTGCTTCATTTTTTTAATATTCCATTCCACTTCCTTATTAATTATCATCGCAAATTGAGTTTGAAGCACTTTTATGTTTTGTTTCACTTTTTCATCCTTGGGCCTCGTAGTTAGTTTTTTCTCATTTTCCATAATTTGTTTTAGGATTTCCTTTCCCCCCTTTTCTCTCATTTTATTTTTAATTGCATTTTGCTGGATGAAAAAACCCCTCATCACCGCTTTACTAGCGTCCCACACCATACTCATTCTTGTGCCTTTATTCACATTATTTACAAAATAGTCCGTTTGGCATTTCTGTGCCCTTTCCACTATCTTCTGATCATCCAGCAAGTTTTCATTTATTCTCCATCTGAAAGATTTTTCTTCATATCCTTTTAGAGTACATTTAATTGCGTTATGATCCGAGAAGACTTTTGGTTGTATTTTGATCTTTAATATTCTCGATGTTAGTTCATTGGATATCCATATCTGATCGATTCTTGACATTGATTGGTTTGCGTCTGAAATAAATGTAAATTGTTTTTCTAATGGGTGTCTTAGTCTCCAAATATCGATCAAATTACAGTTCTCTACCATTTCAAAGAATGATTTTGGAAGTTTCCCTTCTTTTGTTTTCCCAGACGCCCGTAGTCTATCTATTTCCATAGAAACTACGCCATTCATATCACCCATTATTATAATCTTTTGATCCAAATAGTCAAATAATCTTTCCTCCAGGTCCTTAAAGAAATCCATTTTATTTCCATTTGGTGCATAAACTCCAATGATTATAAGTTTTTCACCTTGCCAATTGACTTGAACTGCTATAATTCCCCCTTCTTCATCCTTAAATATTTGTTGCACCTCCAATTTATTTTTAATATACAATACCACTCCTCTCTTTTTACTTTTATCAGATGAAACAAACTCATTTCCTAATTTTTTATTTATCAAAATTTTTCTGTGCATTTTTTTAACATGTGTCTCTTGTTGGCATATAATATCCAAATTCTTTTGTTTTAAATATTGTTCAATTTTATTTCGCTTTTTTTAATCGTTCATTCCATTAACATTCCATGTCCATAATTTTAACGCCATATTGTATTCCAATTAATATTCCAATATTCCAATATTTTTTTATAAATTCTTTTCTTCTTCTTCTTCTCCTCCTTCCTCTTCTTCCTCCTGTTCATCTTCTCCTTTTCCTCTTTTGTCCTTTTTATCTCTCCCCTCTTCCTCCACTGATATCGAGAATTCTACTCCGCTGGCACCTGCTCCCCCCATCCCCACTTCCTCTTCTTCTGTCATCAGCTCCTTGTATCTTCTAAAGAATTTATCCACTTCATCTGGTCTTGTAAGTCTGTGCCTTTTCCCTTTATATGTAAATGCCACTCCTTCTGGAAATTCCCATTTAAACTCAACCTGATTTTTCTTCAAAGATTGTAACAAATGTCTATAACGGTCTCGTTTTTTCAAAAGGCGAAGTGGTACATCTTTAAAAATAATTATATAATTCCCATCAATATTTAATCTTTTTTCTCTATTTTTTTGTAAAATTAAGTCTCTCATCTCTTTATCTTTGAAAATAATCAAACAATCTCCAGGGAATTTCTTCGCTCTAGTTGTCCTTGTCCTTATTTGAAAGGCATTTTGTATTGTTTTAGCCACATCCTCCGCTTGCAGGTCTAACCATTGGGCAATCTCTGCCGTCAATTTTTCTTTTATCAGTTCTCCCTGCACTTCAGGCACAGACCTCAATCTCAGATTTGTCTGTCTTTGTCTTAGTTCATTCATTGCAACCGCATCCCACAACTCTTCCTGTGTCTTGTTAACTTCAGATACTTCCGCTCTAGTTTTTTCCTCTTCTCTTTTCATATCCTTCATTTCTAATTTAGTCTTTTTCAATCCTTCTTCTAAATTTTGTGTTCTCTTATAAATCTCTTTCATTTGTCCTTTTAGTTCATTAATAGTTACATCTATTTTTTTGTCCACTTTCTCTAGTTTGTTCTCCATCTGCCCCAATTTAGACTCTATATTTTTCTCACTATTTTTAATATCCATCTTTAATTCTGCAAGCATCTTTACTATTTCTCCTTTCCATTCTGGTTCTTGCCTCGACGTCCTCCTCTCTACTGGAGTTGCACCCTCACTCTTTTTGTGCATGTGTCATTCTCCAAAATTATTTCTTACCCCTTATACAAATCTCCAATTCAATTAGGGAGGGATTTATTTAATATATTAGTCCGCTGTTTCCCTTCCCCTTTATTTATTATTTCCAAATCCAATAGCAATTTTTAGAAGTTTTAAAATTTTAAAATTTGAAACATATAGTTCAAACCCCCAAACTTCACCACTTCTGGGGATCCAGGGCACAGTCCTTCAATGGCTACGCTCGTTTCTCTCTGGGCGGGGATAGAGGGTGGCGCTTGGGGGGGAATTGTCATCGCGCCACTCCTTGGTGTGTGGAGTGCCTCAGGGTGCGATACTCTCCCCGATGCTTTTTAACATCTTTATGCGCCCCCTCGCCCAGCTTGTCCGGAGTTTTGGGTTGGGTTGCTATCAGTATGCCGATGACACCCAACTCTATCTTTTGATGGATGGCCATCCTGACTCGGCCCCAGACACACTGACCAGATGTCTGGAAGCTGTGGCTGGATGGTTACGTGGGAGCCGGTTGAAGTTAAATCCTTCAAAGACAGAGGTCCTCTGGCTGGGACGGGGCGATATGGGATTGAGGGGGCAACTCCCATCTCTTGCGGGGATGCAATTAGTGCCAGCACCGTCCGTTAAGAGTTTGGGTGTAATCTTCGATACCTCCCTCTCTATGGAGGCGCAGATTACAGCTATAACAAAGGCGGCATTTTTTCATCTCCGCCAAGCTAAGCAGTTGGCTCCTTATCTCTCTCACCCTGACCTAGCCACTGTGATCCACACGACAGTCACCTCCAGACTGGATTGTTGTAACTCGCTCTACGTGGGGCTGCCCTTGAGACTGACCCAGAAACTCCAGCGGGTGCAGAATGCCGCGGCGAGACTCCTTATGGGGTCTTCGCTGTGAGATCACATTCATCCGGTACTATACTAGCTGCACTGGCTCCCAGTGGAGTACAGGATCAGGTTTAAGGTAGTGGTTTTAACCTTTAAAGCTCTATACGGCCTAGGACCCTCATACCTACAGGACTGCCTCTCCTGCTATGTCTCACAGAGGAACTTACGGTCTGCAAATAAAAACATACTGAAGGTCCCAGGCCTCAGAGAGGTTAGGCTGGCCTCAACTAGAGCCAGGGCTTTTTTGGCTGTGGCTCCAGCCTGGTGGAATGCTCTGTCACAAGAGACTAGGGCCCTGCGGGACTTGACATCTTTCCGCAGGGCCTGCAAGACAGAGCTGTTCCACCAGGCCTTTGGCCAGGGCGCAACCTGACTCCCTCCTCTGCACAGAATTTTGCTTAACGGTTGCCATCAATTTGATTTTAATTAATTTTTATAATGAAATGTTTTTAGAATGTTGGATTATTTGACTGTTGTTAGCCGCCCTGAGCCCAGCTTCGGCTGGGGAGGGCGGTATATAAATTATTATTATTATTATTATTATTATTATTATTATTATTATTATTATTATTTTAAATCCAAAGGGGATAAAAGGATGCAGCCCCTCTAAACCCAAACCCAAATCAGGCAGAACACACTCTACAACTGATATAATGTTTTCAATTTTAACTGGCCCTGCTCTTGTCTTACTACTTGGTTATATGTTGCCCAGTTCCCTGACATCTTTATTTTTTAAATTGAAAACGCTTCTACTGGTGACAGCCACCATGCTGTATATGGTTCCAACAAGGGTTGGTAAGTGGTCCAAAAGCCTTTACAGGCTCAAACATCATCATGAGTCCAAACTATCATGAATAGGCAATAATAAGGACATTGGCAGTTCTCTGTGTTCATCTTCCCACAATTCAGTGGTAGAAATGTCTTTTAAACGTATGGTGTGAACACGACCTAACAAAGTTTAGATAAACTGAGTTGGCTGGTCCTTTAAATCACCTCCTCACACATTATTGTTGCTTTTCTCTTGTGTCTCGAGGGAGGAACCATGACAGGAGCTATTTTATGGGCTACCAGCTGCTTGCAGCCATTTGGATCGTCATTGGACTGGCCTGGATAGCTGTGCTGTTTGAACTGTTTTCATCATTACTGGCACCTGCGGATCCAAAAGCAACCACACAAAAAATGAGTAAAATGCAAAGATAACAGTGCCCAAAAGGAGTCTGCTGGATTTCCACTGGAGGAGAATTTATCATTGCATTCAGGTGGAGTCTGACATAAAAATCAGTTATACTCAACAACTTCCATTGAGCTTTTTATAATTATATGGCATTGCGACATTCAACTGATTCCTTAAAAACTGGCTAGCTGGTCTATAAATTAGTAATTCCTAATAAACTGTGAAATAGATGGGTTTTCTGCATCAGGTTATAATGCCTCTTCATTACAGGGTATGTACTGTGTTTTAGCAACAAGGAGAGAAAGGAAGGGTCTTACTTGGATTCTCAAAACTGGAATGTGTGCAGTGGAGAGCAACCAAGATGATCAAGGGTCTGGAAACCAAACCTTATGAGGAGTGGTTGAAGGAGCTGGGTATTTTTATTCTGGAAAAGAGGGGACTAGGGGAGATATGAGAGCCGTCTTCAAATATCTCAAGGGCTGTCACATGGAAGAGGAAGCAAGCTTGTTTTCCTCCTGCTCTGGAGGGGAGGACTCAAACCAATGTCTTCAAGTCACAAGAAAGGAGATCCCAGCCTAAACATCAGGAAGAACTTTCTGACAGTAAGAGCTGTTCAGCAGTGGAACCGTCTCCCTCGGAAGGTGGTGGACTCTCCTTCCTTGGAGGTTTTTCAGCAGAGGTTGGATGGCTATCTGTCCTGGATGCTTTAGTTGAGATTCCTGCATTGCAAGGGGTTGGACTAGATGACCCTTGGGACCCCTTCCAACTTCTATGATTCCATGATTCTAAGGGGCATTTTCGTCCAACATCAGGACAGACAAAGGGTCCCACGTATAGTGGGAGGGAGGTGGTGGAATTTTCTGGCTTGAGGACCACACTGGCCTTTGCCTTCCAGTGGACACTGCACACCCTCACATGTGTGAACGCCTACGTGTGCACACACACAGGCAGACACGCACAAGGACCCCCACGCACAACCCCCCCCACGAGAGCAGTGGAGATCAGCTTAGGTGGAGGTGGCAACTGCACCCCTACTCATCAAAAGATAGATGGGCATTCAAACTCCCCCCTCCCAGGACATCCCATAGAATAATCGAAGCGAAGTTGAAAATGCGGAGGACAGCCAAGGTCTCTTGGCACTTGTTTGGACAAAGAGCGGGGAATTCTGAATGCTTAAGACCTCGGGCCTCCACTGGAAGACAAAGAAAAAAGGAAATGAAACACACCATAAAGAAGATAATCTAAATATAGCTTTGCTATGGAGATATGTGCATATATGTGCACAGGTGACAGCAACACATGCTTTGTGCAGAAACAGAAGATGCCCCAAATAAAGGCAATTTAGTAATATGCACACGTTCTCACAACCCCCTTGTGATGTGCCTAGCATGGCCAGGAGAGAAAGGCTTGGCGAAGTTGGAATTTGATTTGAAAGTGGCGCTAAATGTAATTTCTATAATACCCAGAGAAACACACAACAAAGCCATTCTATTAAGGTTACAGCACTTTGCAGATGCAAGCCCTTCTGGATGCTGTGCTAAATTGTTTCTTCTTTTTTCCCTTGAAAAAAAAATATGTTGGGGGGGGGGAAGAGTTCTAATTTATTTATCCGGGTAAGGAGAGATTTCATCTCAACCAATGCAGAATTTGAACCATGATCTGTTTCAACAATATTCAAAGAACACTGGTCCACAATATTGAGGGAAGCTGGGCAAGTTACATCCCACATTATTCCCAGCTTCTTGGTAGCCTCCTGGTTCTTAGTGAGATGGAGTCATTCCCATACTCCCCAGCTTTTCTCCAGTGAAAATAGGGACATCCTAAGGATCATATCAAAAACAGGGATGGAAACTTGGAGAGTCTGCATTCCTTAACAAATGCACTCCATTTAGAATGCTTAGGAACACTGGGAGCTGCCTTACAAAGAGTCAGACCAGTGGGCCATTTGGCACAATACTGTCTAGACTGACCGCAAGCGGCAATTCAGAATTTCAAACAGGAATTTGGAAATGCTGGAGTTTGAACTCAGGACTCGCTGCCTGCTAAGCAGATGTTCTACCATTCAGTTTGGGAAAGGAGAGTCTTCCATCTCAATGCTGATGCTTGGATGTTCAGCTGGAAGCACTCCCACAACGACAACAAGGGGCTGTAGCCAACTAATCTTTTCAAAACCACCTGAAATTAATAGATCTAAGTCCGTCATGCCTGTTAATTTCTGAGTAGGAGAGCTGCAAATAATGCCAATTATTTCACATCTGGCAAGCAATGCGCCCCTTGGGTTTCAGATAGTACATGGGTAGACAAGTCTAAAAAGTCCACGACACAAATTTTCACAGCATTTAGCATTTTGGGTGGCTCATTTGCCAGGAGCAATGGATTTAGCATCAACTCTGGAGGTGTATATTCAATTCTGACCAAACAAAGCCTCCTGGTGTATATTATGCTCTAAGAGCAAAGCTATAACCAAAGGGGCACATTTGTTGCCAGATGTGATTTTTTCCCCAGCTGTCCTACCACACTACATAATTTGGGACTGTTTCCGCAAGGGTTGAGGCACAGAGCCTAATGAGCAAAAGGTAGAGGAAATGGCAAAACTGAAGCAAAGCTGTACACTTCACGCAGGGGTTTAGCAAAACCTTTTGGGTTTGCCTTTCTCTTTATGCATCCCTCCTCTCAATCATGAGGAGGAAGGAAAGCAATGGCGACACGTCCCAAAGAACAGAGCTCAGCTTACTGTAGTTAGGGGCTCTTAAATCCTGCTTTACTCTTTTGTCTGGAGGCACTGAGAATGAGGTGGGGGGGGGGAAAGACCCTAAAACTTTGGGAAACATCCAGAGACCTCCGGGCAACCTACATTGCAGAGGGTAGGACTAGATGACTCTTGGTGTCCTTTCCAACTCTACCATTCTAGGGTTTTATGATACAGTGGTACCTCTGGATGCGAACGGGATCCGTTCTGTAGCCCCGTTCGAATCCTGAAGTGAACGCAACCAGCGTCTGCGTGTCTGCGCATGCGTGGGTCGCGATTCGCCGCTTCTGCGCATGCGGGTGACGTCATTTCGAGCATCTCTGCATGTGCGAGCGGCGAAACCCGGAAGTAATGTGCTCCGTTACCTCTGGGTCACCGCAGAGCGCAACCCGAAAACACTCAACCCGAAGCTACTTCAACCCGAGGTATGACTGTACAGTGGTGCCTCGCAAGACGAAATTAATTCGTTCCGCGAGTTTTGTCGTCTTGCGATTTTTTCGTCTTGCGAAGCACGGTGTCGGAAAGGTTTTGGAAAAGCTTCAAAAATCACCAAAGTCTTCAAAAACCTCAAAAAAGGCTACCACACCGCGTGCTATGAGTTGCTCCTCAAAGTCAAGTCGCAACTGTATTAACGGTTTTAAGAAAAAGGAAACAAACTTGCAAGACGTTTCCATCTTGCGAAGCAAGCCCATAGGGAAAATCGTCTTGCGAAGCAGCTCAAAAAACCAAAAACCCTTTCGTCTTGCGAGTTTTCTGTCTTGCGAGGCATTTGTCTTGCGAGGTACCACTGTACTTTGCTTCCTGAGGCTAAACAACAGGCGGTGCTCCCAGAGTCAAGTTGCAGAAAACTCCACCTGCACTTCTTCCTGGGAGTAAAAGAAGAAGAGAAACCACACACAAGTAAATATTTGGGGCACTTTCATGAGCGTGGCTACTTCACTGGCCCCGTGATACCTGTCAATCCTAGTTATTAGGGAAGAGGGTGGCATTGCTGTTGTTCCTTGCCTTTTCAGAGGTGTTTGTCTTTAAACAGCTACCCAAATACTCCTCTCTTCCCAGCCCTCAGATATAGAAAGGTTTTCAATGAGAGTCATAACACGGCGCAGGAAAAAGGGAGGACTGCTGTTTATCACAGGGATGGTGCTGCCAGGCCACAAAGCACTTAATCAGTGCAAAGCAAGTTCACACTAGGTGCGTTTCACAGAGATCAAATGCTGCGGATCATTTCTGGGGAAATGCAACTGACTTTCAACAAGAGATGCTATCTGGAAGAAAGATGACTGTACCTCCCCTTGCAATTTAGAAACACCACAATATTCCCCCGGGAATATTGTGTGTGTTGTAAAAAATTAAGTGGAAATCGCCCCTGTTCCTTAAGGGTGCAGGAGCCTGAAAGAGACCATATATATATATATTAAAGCAAATATATATTAAAGCAAAGCGGCTAGTAAAGCTGATCTTTATTGCAATAGAAATGTACTGTTGCAACAGGGTCCTTGCTCACGACACACACGAAGGAGGAGAATACTGAACAAAAGGCAAAACACACTTATCTACATTTTCATTACAGGTGCTTTCTCCCACTTCCCGCCTTCACGGGGTACGTCACTTGTTGTTGTTGTTTAGTCGTTTAGTCGTGTCTGACTCTTCATGACCCCATGGACCAGAGCACGCCAGGCACTCCTGTCTTCCACTGCCTCCCGCAGTTTGGTCAAACTCATGCTGGTAGTTTTGAGAACACTGTCCAACCATCTCACCCTCTGTCATCCCCTTCTCCTTGTGCCCTCCATCTTTCCCAACATCAGGGTCTTTTCCAGGGAGTCTTCTCTTCTCATGAGGTGGCCACAGTATTGGAGCCTCAGCTTCACGATCTGTCCTTCCAGTGAGCACTCAGGGCTGATTTCCTTCAGAATGGAGAGGTTTGATCTTCTTGCAGTCCATGGGACTCTCAAGAGTCTCCTCCAGCACCATAATTCAAAAGCATCAATTCTTCAGCGATCAGCCTTCTTGATGGTCCAGCTCTCACTTCCATACATCACTACTGGGAAAACCATAGCTTTAACTATACGGACCTTTGTTGGCAAGGTGATGTGGATACATCAAATAAGGGAGGCACATCGGCAAGATTACAGGTAAATTTCATCAGACAAAGGCATTTTGTTAACACAGAGATGTTTTCCTGTTTTCATCACAAAAGTGTGGGTGCATTTAAATGGGTTTCCGTCTGTGAGTCCCGCCCCGCCTATCCTGGTGTTAATGGCTGCCCTTTGTTTTATGATGACAGGGACGGACATGCCAAAGGCGATGCTTGATGAAGTAATGGAAGGCTAAAGAGCTGGTCGGGCATCACCAGTTATGATCAGGCATTCCTGGCTCCTGTTGTTTGAAGATACAGTTATTAACAATTCTCAGAATGGGCAAATTTGTGAATGGATTGTCAACATTCTTCAGGAATGGCTTGCCTGTGCTTTATGAATGACCCATTCAATAAAGT